AAAAATTTGAATTACAAATTATGAAGCCAAGAGTTCTGTATGCCTTTCCAATGATAATCCGATAATATTCAAGAAATCCTAAATTTTGCTGAAAAATTACTCCAGGATCTTAGCAAGTGTTCTTTCTTCCAAGTACAGTGCTAGAAATTTTGTATTGGTTCCCCATGTATTGCGATTTTCGAGTGATAGCAAAGACATGACATTTAAAAGTGTTTAGAAACATTTTGTTATCATCAAACCATTGACTTACTCAGTTCAGATCACATTGCAGCATCTCAGAGTCCTACAAAGTTGAAATTTCTTGAAATATCTTAAAATCATCTGCAAATAGCAGCTTGTTGAAAACTTCACATAGTGAGGCAAATTGTTAATAAATATAGCGAACAGAAGAGGACCCAAGTTGCTACACCTGATGTCAACATAAATGGCTTAGATAAACTGTTCCCCACTTTAACTTGATTTAAACTATCAGAAAGATATGACCTCATAAATATACATGTTCCTGAATCAAAATCAAATTTGCTTAGCTTTTGAATAAGTATAGAGTGATCAATATTATCAAAAGCTTTTTGATGGGCTAAAGGTGGCTCTGTTTGCTAAAGTTATAATATGTGTTAACTCTTCGTTTATCCATCCACTTTATATTCATGAACTTATAACTTATACTTTTTCCATTTCTGTGGTACCAAATGTTGCTTTTTAACATATAGGGCCTTTTCTGCCTAAGTTATAAGTTAAATAAGTTCTTGATTTAATTTTTTCTAGCTTTCCTGATATATCTGTTTCTGTACCTCTGGATCCGTTATTTGAGGAGGGATTTCATCATACAACAGTCAATTTTGACGTAATTGTTGATATAAAAGAATCTGTCCTTAATTATGAAGAATACTATTTTGACTTTAAAAATGGTGATTATGTTGCTTTAAATTATTATTTAGCAGAAGTTGGCTGGAATTTATTATTTCTTAACAAAAGCATTAATGACATAGTTAAAGATTTTTATGATATTTTATTTTATTTAATCGAATTGTTTATACCATTAAAAAAATTTAAAACATCTACATATCCCAAATGGTTTACATCAGAGTTAAAACATTTACTTTATGAGAAGAAAAAAGCATATAAAAAATTTAAAATGACTGGTGGTGATGAGAACTATTGTCTTTTTTCCGATCTCAGGGAACAATGTAAAGAGCTTAGCAAGTATTTACAAAGGCGTCATGTGAATGAAATTGAGGCTAGCATTTTTCATTATTCTTGTTCTTTCTGGAAATATATTAATAATAAACGCAAATCTCATGTTCTTCCATCAAGTATGAGTTATGGTAATGAAAGTAGTGAAAATGGTTCAGATATTGTGAATTTATTTGCTGGGTTCTTTTCGACTGTCTATAATAAAGGAAAAATAAATCAGATTCCTAATTTTAAGTACGAAAATTATGTTAATGCTAATAATTATTTAATTAATGTTAAGGATATTATTCATAAGATACAGAATAATCCGTGGAAACTGACAGCGGGTCCCGATGGTATACCAATGTATTTTATTAAAAAATGTGTATTCACTCTTGCTAAACCTATTCAGTTATTATTCAATAAGTCATTAACTTCTTCTACATTTCCTGATTTTTGGAAAGTGAGTTTTTTAAAACCCATTTTTAAATCTGGTCAAAATAATCATGTTGAAAATTACAGTTTAACATATTGTTAACCATATGTTAACCTACGATTGTAAAAATTTAATTCTCGGTCAACAACATGGTTTCTATCAAAAGAAATCTACTTGTACAAATCTTATTTTGTATTCAAACTTCATTGTTGATTCCATGGAATCGGGAAACCAAGTTGACTCCATATATGCTGATTTTGCCAAAGCATTTGACAGGGTAAATCACGAAATATTAATTGCTAAACTTCGTGGATATGGAATTGGAGATAATTTATTGGGTTGGATCACGAGTTATTTAACAGATCGTTCACAAATAGTAAAATATGGTGATTTTGTTTCTAAAGCGATTAATATTACTTCGGGTGTACCTCAAGGTTCTCACTTAGGCCCACTTCTATTTAATCTGTTTGTGAATGATATATCATCAGTAATTAATAATAGTGAATTTCTATTGTTTGCTGATGACATAAAGATCTTTAAAGCAATTAAAAATACCTCTGATATGGATGCTCGTCAGTCTGACTTAAATAATTTATCTCGTTGGTGTGACATTAATGCTTTATATTTAAATATACAAAAGTGCTATAAAATTACGTTTTCCAGAAATACTAAACATCAGTTATATAGAACATAAATACTTAAGGGAGTATCGATTACAGAAGTAAATCAAATTAGAGACCTTGGAATTACATTTGACCAAAGACCAATGTTTGATAGGCATATTAATAATATTACATCGCGGGCTTATAGAATTCTCGGCTTTGTTCAAAGGAACTCCCGAGAATTTTCAATATTTACTTTCAAAATTTTGTATTGTTCTCTAGTTCGGTCCATTTTTTAATATTGTAATATTATTTGGTATCCATATTATAATATGTATATCGATCAGTTGGAACGAGTTCAAAATAAATTCCTAACAATTTGCAGGTATAAAATGGGTTTTAATAGAACTAACTGTAATTATAACTATATTCTTTGTCAACTTAATATGAAAACTTTAGAAAATAGAGAATCTGAGCGTGAATTGCGTTTTTTGCATAAAATTCTTAATGGTTATGTTGATTGTCCGGAACTGCTGGAATTAATTGTTTTTAATGTAAATTCTAGAAGAACACACTCTCCTGACCTGTTTAGACTAAAGTTTCATCACACTAATTATGGTAAAAGTGAGTCAATCACAAGGATGTTGAGAACTGCCAATAATTTGCAAGATAGTGTTGAATTGTTTAATTTATCCGTGTCCTCGTTCAAGAATAGTTTAAAGAAATTGAGACATTACTTAATGTTATTAATACTTTTTAAAATTGTAATATATGACTACAGTTTATATGTTAATTATATGTGTATATTGTAATTTTTGTAAGGAAAAAGGGTTCATCCCGTTAAATAAACAAAACAAAAAAATAATATATGAACAGTAAATTTTAAAATTTATTCTATTCACACTCCATCTCAATAGCACTCTCATATTACATCAATTAACATTTCACTCTGCAATTCAGATATCTGTATAGTTGGTTGTCTACCAGTAAGTACACACAAATTTTTTTACCAAACTTCAGTTCACCTACACTATAAAGAATATTTTCAAATTTCCCAATGTAATTTTAGGATAAATCATACTTCAAACTACAGCATATTGATGGTTGCTACTATTATTATTAATAAAAATTTTAACACAATCAATTTTAAATATTGCTGGCTACTGTAATATTCAGATAAATATCTCAAGTTACACAGACTGCTTTCTTTCAACTTCCGTCCTAACATGCCATTTCAATCAGTTGCTATCAACAAGTCCTCATAGACACATTGTCTCAGGACTAGCAACCTCCAGTGGAGTCTTACATTGCCATGTCATCTATTCCTGTTGTAACTTAAACATCCCTAGTTTATAAAATTAAATATTGTAACTCAAATGTTAATTTAACAACATTTAAAGGGTTGTTACCCAAGGATTTAGTGGCTCAAAACATGTACATCCAGTAAGTATAAACCACATTTTTGTATTAACCTTGGTCAATATTTCAAATTTCATGTTTGCATTAATTAAAGTGGTTATACTATTAGGATAGCACTGATGATGGAATATTCATTCTGAAAACATTTTGTGATGTAACCTGTTAGGGTTTTTTGATATTACAACTTTTATAAAGGACTTTTTAAATAAAAATTTTTTATGATACATGGTATACAGCCAACTACAGGAATTTAGTTTCCTTGTAAATTTACAATAATTGCAAAAGATAAATAAAAAATTATTATTTACCTCGACTTTGCTGATTTTGTCAACTTATAATCTACACATCAATTATGTTTTATATCAATTATTCACACTTAATTTCACAATTCATGTCTTGACAGTTTCATACATGTTTAATTTTTTGGAAGGCAATCATTATTGTTTGAAATGTATAATAAAAAAATAAAAAATGACTGATAAATGGAAAAGGTGTTCCTTAACTATCTTATAGAGACAAAGAATAAATAACTATGGAAACAGAAACCTATATCTTGAAAAAATATTGATTTTTTAGGAATAAATTTTACCCATTGCAATTAAACTACCTTTTACTGATTTCCTTGTAATTAATTTTACTTCCTTTGTAACAAAACTGTAGAAACTATTTATAAATAAAAAATACAGTGTTTTTATGTATTAACGAAAATCAAATGCATGTAGGTAAGCAGATAAGTACTTACATAAAGTTAAGGTTAATGGACATGTTTTTAAATTTGTTAAAATTAATCATAAACCAACCTAACCTCTATATAACAAACTTCATTATAAAAATTCCTTGCTATAAGGAATATTTTATAATTTTCTTCAGTTTTGTTATATTCAGGTTGCAATGTATAGTTGAGAAATAGAGTAGCATCGAAGTTATTGAGAATAGAAACATATGGATATTTATTAACAGTTTTTACAGTAAACAAACTTATGAGACATACTATAATGGAATACACAATTATTAACCCTAATACTTATACACAATCTAATGTTTGCAAAGTTTTAATAAGATATTACAAAAATTTTATTAATAATTTTGCAACAAACTTTTTAGTTTGTTTTAACAGAAAATTAATGTGTAGTTTCCACAAAATTTACAATTTTTGTTAAAGATTTAATCTTATACACTTACAGCAAGGAATATACAGGAATATGGGTATATATTCCTCTCTTCTAGGATATTTAGGGTAAAACTGTAGCACAGTATATGGCTAAAACTGAACTGTGGCTGTAGTAAGAGGTTATTATTACCCTGTGTTAGTTCTCATATAAGTTGTATTTAAAAAAGCTTAAAATATATGGTAAAATGGCGTATTTATATTAATTGGAAAGATGAATGATACACTTAACTGAAGGTAGATAAATTATTATTATAATATACTTAACTTTTTCGTTTGTTTGTTTTTCTTCAACTGGCAAAAGTATATTTTCATCTTTTATTTCAGTCTTGACTGAGAATTGATTTAAGCCCAAATCATCAAATGTATTATGTGCTTTATCACTATTGAGTTCCCCTTTAATTTCATTTTTAAAGCTAACTAAAAGATCATATGTTTCGATTTTACAGGTGTCTTCGTCTTCATTAAATTCTTGTTTTACTTCCATTTGATTAAACCACATTTTATATTTCAATATTTTTATACATAAAAAGTGAAATGGTTTTTATACATAAACCAAACCGATATGGACCATGGTTCCGGCTTATTACACTAGTACCGCAGTTTTTTTATGTACTATAATTTGAAGCAAAGAACGGACATAAGAATTAAAATTTAAAATCACAATACATACCCACTGTGTTTAAAATAAAATACAATGCAAATTAAATATAACCTATTATATCCACTCATACTCTTTTTCCTCTTCCATTCATTTGCTTGGCCTTAGCTACCAGGGCTATCCGGCCAGGATCTGTGTATTTCTCTGATTTATACTGAATCACCGAACAACTGACTGAATGGTCAAGAGTCGTATACTCGGTTCGCTAATGCCAGTCCGAACTGTCTAGTGATTTTAGTAATTATGTTTTTACGAAGTTAGTTACTTTTTGACAGACTAGAAGTGGCTGGAAATTATTATACAACCAAGTACACGTGCTCATAGCGCATTTCATTAGAGTATTTCGTCGACCTCTTCTGCAAACTTATACTATGAATTAGAAATTTATAGCATGTATATAGAATGTAAGTTTCTATTATATGTAAATAAAAAATATTTTTTATAAAAAAAGTTACGGTAATTTAGTTTATATCGTTAGGTTGCGCCAAATGTAGGCAACCAACTTAAACTTTTTGTTAGCATTTATATAGCTGGAGTTTCTTGAGAATATATTTAATATTTTCCAGTTAATTTATTATTATTTTTTAAAGTGATGATAATAATGCTGAATAAGCAATATTTCAAATGATATCTAATCACAGGACGTACTTAATATTGTGTTATAAAGTAGGTTAGATAAAAAATATCATAATATTCATATTATAATTCAAAAATATCATTCATCAAAAATATCCAATATCATCAAAAATATAATTAAAACAAATCATAATCTTCTATTATTCCTATTAGAAACTAGTTTTGGACGGCCCGGGATTTTACCTTTTTTATCTAACGTACTTTATTATGAGGATTTTACAATAACACAATATTAAGTACGTTTTGTGATTAAATATCATTTGAAATATTGCTTATTCAGCATTATTATCATCACTTTTAAAAAATAATTAATTAACTGGAAAATAATAAACGTTTATTAAAAATATTCTCAAGAAACTCCAGCTAAATCCTAACAAAAAGTTTAAGTTGGTTGCCTACATTTGGAGCAACTTAACAATATAAACTAAATTACTGTAACTTTTATCACAGCTTTTATTTAATTTTTGACGACATGTCAAACTGAACTGGATGTTAACTGAAATGTTTTTGTTATTAAGAACATATTTACATAATTTTATAAATATATTTTAATGATCCACCTACGCCGAATAAGCAAATAATTAAACAAAAAAGGTTGGTGTTTTGAATAAATCTTTGTGCAGTTTGATTACCTCGTAATTTAACAGCATGATTACTCATCTAAAAATATTAACTTTTAAAGAACATTTATCATATTTATATTTATTCAAGAAAAACTTACCAACGCATTATCTGCTAGAACAAATGGAAAACTTTGACTATCTCTAATAATAAAATTCAAAATAGAACTAACTAATTAACTAAATAGAACTAAAAAATAATTAAACAAAAATAATGGATCAATAAAACTATATAGCTAAAATAAACAACGCGAATAATACAAATATTTACTACAATATGTTCAATTGTAACAACTCAAATATTATATTTTAAATATACAGGCAAAATGTTATGGGTTTAGTATACACTTCCACTATTTGGAATAATTCTTCTTTTTTTAAAGGAAGAAGTCTGCAATAGTAGTATATTTGAGCTATTAATACTGAGAAGTAGGAATTTTTGTGTTGTAGGTTTCCGACAATGAGTCTGTCAAAATATGCCCGAGCTAAGCGAATGGAGATTACCTACGGTACATCTGGGCTTAAGCTCATAGCTCCTGAACCTGAAACAATACTTAAAGGAGAATAAAATAAATTAAAATCAAATGTTCAAAAGTTTTTTTCACATTTTTTACAAGTTTTAAAGTTCTATTGTTGTAGTCCTATACTACTGCACCTAACCCATCGAGCAAAAAGATAAAAGAGGGAATCTAATCGTTATGAAAAGGAGACCAAAAAAGTGGCCTCTGATGGCGGACATATCCGGAAATGCAAAGGCGCTAAATTTAAATTTTCCAACACTTGTCAACAATACCTGTAAAATATTTTTCAGACAAGAAAGTTTTAATTAAATATTAACGATAATAGTCTAAAAAGTGACATAATTGGTAAAAAAACTTCAATATAAATAAAATTTCATGTGACAGTTGGGACAAACAATAACATAACCAAACTAAATTTGACTTCTTAAACAAGGAAAGAGACTGTCTTTCCTTGTTTAAAGTGGCCTCTCAAGATAGCACTTCCTGTCTAACAATATTTTTGTCCCCACTACCTTTACATTCCCTCTTTTATCTTTTTGCTCGATGACCTAACCGCAGTAAGCACATGCAATCCAAGCAAGCAGATTAAAACTTATAATGTATAGTAACGAACTACATTTTAGACCTTGTTAACGCTAAAAACTTTTGCACTACAAGTAATGTCTTTGAGTTTAAGTTTTTGAACAACACATCGATAAATGTTGGATCACCTTGAAATTCACTTCTAAGTAAATGGGACTCCCTTTGATATCTAGTACATTCTAACAACATACGGGTTGCTGTAAGGTGCTGAGTGCTGAGTGCTGTAAGGTGCCTAAACTGCCACATAACACAGATTTTTATTGATCACTTTCAATCTAAATAAGTGAATGCAATGTCCACGTCTCATACGACACATTTTTGCAATTATACCCCTCCCCAGGTTGGGAAATATTGTAAATCAGACCTTTTTATATAAAACCGTAACATTTGTACAATATGTAATTCCTTTTACCTGTCCTATTTGTTGGAACCGATTTTTCCAACTGATCCGTAGGTTTTCCTTATATTTAGTTTGAAAATCTTTAAAGGAAGCCTTTGGTTCTTCAGTAACAGGTAGACTTCTTCCAAGTTTAGCAAGATAATCAGCTCTATCATTCCCCACTATCCCGGTGTGACTTGGAATCCATGCGAATTTCATTTCTTTATTTTGTTTATGAAGTTGACTAAGTTTTTGTTTTAATTGAAGAGTTTGTGTGTCTGCTGCAGCCTTCTAGCAGTCTACTACAAATAAGGTTTTTTCAAAATCATTCTGTTTAATTAAATCTAATACCTTTTTTTGCAAATAATTCTGCTAAACAAATAGAATTAGCAGATGGTAATCATGCTGTTAATTCGGTGCTTTCATTAAATTATATACCAATGCCCACATTACCTTGTTCATCTTTGGATCCTTCTGTGAAAGTAAGTTTATATTCAGACTAATTATCAAGGTACCATGACACAAACTTGGCTTGGTTACCTTCTTTCCCTAGGCTGAGAGTTTCATAAACCGTAGGAAAAATCTGAGAATCAAGCAGGAAGGAGTGACAAGGAAATAAGGAGTTATGTGCCACCTCATGAATCTCATGAAGCGTATTCTGGAAGGCAGTATTGGTGGGAAATACTTTATAAAATTGCTCTATTGAAGAATATATTGGCCTGAGATATGCTACTACCTTTAATATAAATTTTGATGCCGGCCAAATCCTTCTAAGATCTAACGGTGTTTCCCCGCATTCCGACAAAATAATATGAACTGGAGAGGACCTCATAAATCCCCCGACCACTCGGAGAGCTCTATATTGAACTTTATCTAGTTTAGTAAGTAACGAACCGGCAAAACCTCCAAGAAAAATCGATCCATAATCAAGGTGTTGTCTAATATAGACCTTATATAAATAGTAAAGTAGCAGGATGTACCTACTCCCCACCTTCGACACAGGCACCGAATAATATCGAGTCCATTGGATGCCCCCAACGTCATCTTTTCGATTTGGCTTTTCCAAAAAAGGGAACTATCTAAAATAACTCCTAGATGAGAAACTTCCTGTTTCCAATCGGGCAAGATGTTATTTACTAATATTTGAGTGTTCGGAGTGTTATTTCTATTTCTATTAAAAAAAATCGCTTGACTTTTGCTAGATGACAAACACAATCCCATGCCATAAAGTTTTCCAGATATATTCTCTAATGTGTCATTTAATTTTTCCACCCCTTCCACTCAGCTGTAGCCGGAACAATAGACAGCATCATCATCTGCATATTGTGTGATTAGGACATGCTCAAGCACACAGGATGAGATTATGTTAAAGACGATGTTGAATAATACTGGACTCAAAGGAGAACCTTGAGGTATACCAACATTTGCTGTTTTTGGCCCCAATAGATAAAAGGAAATAGGATCTCGGACGAACACCGAACGATTTGTCAATATATGTTTAATCCACTCAATAAGTAACAATGACAAAGTCAGAGCGTCTAATAATTGGGAAATAGATACTGTATCATATGCTGAAGAAATGTCTAACGTAACAGCCGCCGCTAGCTTCCTTTTTAAAATATTAATTGAAATTTTATTAACCAGATTGATAATGTTTTCAGACTACCTTTACCTCTACCTTTACGAAAACCTGTTTGGAAAGGCGATAGGATCAGATGATGTTCTACATACCAATCTAACATTATTTTTATCATGTTCTCTAAAAGTTTACTGATACATGAGGATAGGGCAAATTGTTCTCCAACCTGAAATTTATATTTTTGTTGGGTTTTCCATTGTGTTGGATTATGTTTTCCCCCGTTAAGACATAAATTGAAAATTTTGAGCAGCAAATTGATTGCTGACTCTGGAAGATGTTGCAACATTGAAAATATTATACTATCCTGACCCGGAAGAATATCTCTTCTTTCAGATAAAGCCAATGAAATCTCATTTAAAAAAAAGGGTTCACACTCGATAGTATTAGATTTCACTGGGTGAGAAATAACGTTCTCAAAAAGAGATGGATTCAAAGAGATAAGCATTTCCTCCCCTAATGAAGAA